GACTAGAGTAGCCGAAGGGTAATTACGCAGAGAAGGCATTACCTCCTCCAACCATAAGCCTAAGCCTTGATTAGGGGAAAGAATAAGGAAACTCTGGCAGCGCCCCCTCCCCCCGCTCTCCCCAGCTGTATTAGCGTCGTATTATGTCCGCTGTTGATCCTCACTGTGCTGCCTTCCTTTTTTTTCATTTTCGGAGTACATTCCTACATTCTTATGTGTGAAAGGGTCTTTGTAATCAGATGTGGGAGAATGAAGGTATAGGGTTGAAATTTTTGACAAATCCATTAATAAGTGGGCGGGGCCGTCGGGGGCGGGGTCAAGTGTACTTTCAAATAAGAGTGTGTACAAGAGTCTGTAAGTGTGAAAAGTGTGAAGAACTAGTATAGATGCAGTATATAGTTGAAATGTGTTTAATGTAAGTGTAGACTGTGTCGCAGCAAAAAGGGGAGTTATCTGAGGGCGGGGCATGTAATGAAGTACATGGTGTGAAGAATATGTATGTGCGGTGGGCGCTTCATGCAAGAGTGGCAAAAAAGCCGCTTCGCGGAAGAATCCTGAAATTTCCCTTGGATGGAAGTGGGCAACTTCTAATCCTTCTGTAGAGTGTACTATAGAGCGAGAAGTTCACTCATCCAATGAAGAAAGGCTGTAGAATCAGTAGTTCCCTCAATGATTTTAGGCTCATTTTTGAACAGCACCTTTTGCAGATCTCATGCCCGGAAACTGTAGCTGAAAATTGTTCACCAGGAGAAATATCCAGTAACTCACCTTCGTCTATTGGCTTACCACCTCCAACCATTGACGAGACGCCATCACCGCAAGCACCAACAACGGCAACCATAATAACGACAACCACGACCACAACGGCCAGGTCTCCCAGCAACCTGTCGTCTGTATCCCCAAAAGCAGGTCAGTTGTTATTCCAGAAAAAAAACATCGAGTTAGTAAAAATGTCCAATGAGAAACAATTAGGTAGTGAAAACAAAGTGGTAGCCCATTCGTTTTCGCATTTGCCCTTAGACCGAGGCCAGCAATGGCATAATCCTCCCTTTGAGTTCGGTTTGAGATGATGTTTTTTTTTGGTGTGAATGAGGTTCATCTGACTGTTGTACTCCCAGCATTAGTCATCTGTTTGAATTTTAGACAAGTGAACAAGTAAATTACCTGTATCACTTGTGCTTCCGTTGATCATCATTGAGTTCCTCGAG